GCAACAGTGTGCAAGCATTGTGCAACACGTTTTGTTTATGCTAACAGCAACATGACCAACATGTCAGGCTAACCCCGAAATCTCTCATACTCCGTCAGCAACCCCCGCTCCGCCCCGCTGTGCTCCAGACCGCCTGCTCAAAGCAAAGCCTACATCCTCCACTGTGGCTCCCATCCGCTCCGCTCGGAGTCCCTTGGAGATCGCAGAGGGCATCGGGAGAGATGATTAAATTCATCCATGGTTTCTGCGAATCATTAGAAATAATTACAATTCATTAATTATTTTGGATTTTTTTCGTTAATTTCATTTTAAAAAATTCATTAATTTCTATAATTTTTTTATTTTTCGGTGTAACAATAAACATGTACTGAACCGAACCGAAAACCGTGACCACGAAACCGTGAACCGAACCGAACCGTGGATTTTGTGAACCGCTCCACCCCTAATACAGACTCTAGATTCCTGACATGATCAACAAGGTTTCAAAATTTAAGCTGGCATAGTAGCTGTATAAGGAGCTTATTATATTGGCAATCATCTGTGTGTCATACATGGATAAGTATAAAGCAAAGAAAGTTGTGTTTGATTAAAAACCTACAAAAGAAGCGGCCAAAGAAAACGACAAGGCTCTTCGGAGATGTTGTAGTTCTTTTTGCAAAAAGGGATCGTTAGGCCGACAAAAACAGGATATTTACCTGAACCACAGAACCCATTTCTTTGTAGTAAAGCTATTGTTCAATGAGTGCCGCAACCAGACTCAATGACTGCCTTGTTCCTGTTTTAGCAGCTCAATCATTCTACCTGACATGCAGAGGAAGTAGAACACAAGGATTCCTTAGGACTGTTAGAAGGGGTTACATGTCTGCCATGTTAACAAGAAAAACATATTTGCACATTAAACCTGACTGTTCTGATATTTCATCACTCTTATAATGAAAAGTAACCAAATGCCTTCAATGTTTTTGTTTCTTTAGCACCAAAACTGCCGCTAAAAGCTCTACCGGACAGCAGGGAGATCTTGACAGGGGTAGAAATACCAAATGCAAAGTGTGGCATTCCTCCGGGCACCACTGCGCCATTTTGGGTCACCATGACGACTGTGCCCTATGTATTTCCAACCGTGTGTCCTTGGTTTAACATCCCCAGTAAGAAAAGAGAAGATGCAGACATACCAGGCTCTCTGCTGGTGACTTTATCTGATTGTTTTTTGTTTCTATTCTCAGATTTTCTGACGGTAAAAGGAGAAGAGGACATTTTGGTGAGGCCCCCTTTTCCTTTATAATAGATATAAATCTGCTAATGTGGTATTTGTGCAAAAAAATATGCATCTGTGGGAAAAACGAATGAACTTTATGGGGGAAATGGATTCAACTATCAACAAGCCTTTCTTCTGAGATTTCTCTGACCTTTATCTCCCATAGATGACCCCCCATCCTGGCTCTGAGTTCTTCACTGTCATGTTGACTGGTTTACCAGAAACATGCTACAAACACGAGGACATCGCAAAGCTGGTTTGGCCTTATTTTCCCATACAGAACCTTCGGACTCTCTACTACAACATCTTGGTCCTACCATTGCAGAGGAGGGTAAGGAGCTGTTCTTGCAGACCAGATCCATTAACTAATGCACTTTATGCACACATGTCAGACCCTAATGGTTGTTGAGGTCGTATACCCCAAACTTTGATCTAAATTGGCGTGAAAGAAAATGCTGCATGTGTGTCTCAAACTAATTTCTGGTGACAGTCATTTTTTTGGCTCTTTCAGATGAGGACTCAGGTTATTGTACTGGTTAAAAACCAATTAAACCACCCCAACTGATTAAACTAACTAAATGTTGCTTTTATCAATCCTTGCTTTACATGCTGCAAGTTCTACTAGCATTATTCCCACAGTGCAGAGAGACACCTTAAAGATGTTCCAAAACATTAAAAGCAGGAGGCAGATGGGCCAAATAAACTTGCCAGTAATGCAGCGTTTGCTTTTTATTACGCGACTGTCAAAGCAGGGCAGGTTTATGTCCATGCTGTGTTTATATTAAGCATATTTTAATTGTCGGAGGTAGGGCTGCAACAACGAATCGATAAAATCGATAAAAATCGACTTTTAAAACCGTTGGCAACAAATTT